GGCGGAGATGAATTTGTAATTCTCTTATCAGAAATTGAAAACTTTTCAGATGCAACGCAACTTGCAAACCGAATTATAGAGGAAACGAATCGTCCCCTATTTTTAAAAGGTCATGAAATCAGCCCTGAAACAAGCATAGGAATTGCAACCAATGCTACTGAATATTCTTGCGCAAACGATATTCTCAGAAATGCAGATTTCGCGCTTTATAAAGCAAAAGAGAAAAAAGGTTCCGCTTACGAACTTTTCGACAAAAAAATGAAGTCTCAAATTGTGACCCAATTCCACCTGGAAGAAGGGCTAAAAGGTGCCATTAAATTTGACGAAATGGTTCTACATTACCAACCAACCTTCTGCCTAAAAACACAAAAAATTGTTGGATTTGAGGCATTAATGCGCTGGAATCATCCTCGCTTTGGGTACATCCCTCCAGATAATTTCATTCCCCTTGCTGAAGAATCAGACAGTATTCACACCCTTGGCCATTGGGCTCTGGAAGTCGCGTGTCAACAACTCTCCAACTGGCGTAAAATGTGGTCTGAAGCGCAAGATTGGTTTATCGCTGTTAATGTATCAGCACGCCAACTTGCTCATAAGCAATTTATCAATCAAGTCAAAGAAACAATTCACAGATTTGAACTTCCTCCAGAAAAGTTACACCTTGAGATCACAGAAACATCTCTTGTAGACAACCTTGACCAATGCGAAATTCTTTTAACAGCAATCAAAGAGTTAGGCGTCCACTTAGCCATTGATGATTTTGGAACGGGATATTCATCTCTGGCAACGTTACACCAACTCCCCTTTGATACTTTAAAAGTTGATCGTAACTTTATTGCCACCCTTTCAAAAGATAAAAAATCTTTTAAAACTCTCCGTGTCATTCAAATTTTAGCCAAAGAGCTTGGAATGAACACGATTGCCGAAGGCGTTGAAACAAACGACGAGCAAAAACTTTTACGTCAAGCAGGATATGACTTTGCTCAAGGATTTCTTTTCTCAGAAGCTCTAGAAAGCTCCAAAATTGAAACCCTTATTTCAAGTTCACTTCAGAAAAAAAATGCTGTTTAGGCGAAGATAGTGACCTATATACCGCCATCATCTTTTTCTCCATCAGTCTCTAAGAAGTCTTCATCTTCTAAGTCATCTTTAGAAACAGAGGTTGTTGCCGTTGCTATTGCCGTGGCTTCAGCGGAAGCACCAGCTTCCTCTACCACTCGTGGTGCAAAAGAAATAGGCAAAACATCCATTTCTGTAATCTCAATTTTATGAGCCGGATCACTCTGCCACATGTCAATTTCTTTCTTCAACCTCTTAGAGATATATAAAACCAAAACTGCTTTCTTCGTAGTCTGAAGCCTTCCTCCACCAAGCCCTCTCTTAGAAAGGGAAAAACCGATACCAGGATCTTTCCCAACAACCCGTTTTAGATCATCAGACAATCCCTCTAAAACTTCTGCATCAGAGTGCCAAGCTCCATTGAAAACAGGGCTAAAATCCCCCCAAAAAAGTTATCTTATAAGGAAGTTTAAGATCAGAAGGTTTCTTTGTTTCAG